CGGGCGGCGCGGGGGCGCCTGCCGGTGCCGGTGCATCACGCGTGGGGCAACCACGAGTTTTATAACTTCAGCCGAGCCCGCCTGGCGCGCACCGGCCTCAACAGCCGTCCCGCTGGGGCCATGGCCGGCCTGCCCGCCGGCGACTGCCAGGCCTATCACTTCAGCCCGGCCGCGCGGTTCCGTGTCGTCGTGCTCGATGCCTACGACCTGAGCATCCTGGGCAGGGAGCCAGACAGCCCCCGCTACCGGGAGTCCCTGCGGCTGCTGCGGGAGAAGAACCCCAATGACAACCTCAACAGCCCCGCAGGTACCCCCCATCTCGACCCGTCGGCAGGGAGCACGGGCGGCTGAACGCCCGCTTCCCAGAGCAATGAGGCAGCTCCCGGGGCTGACATCTGGTTGCCGGGGGTGCTGAGGCACGTGCCCCGTTTCTGCCCACCTCCTCCGCCTCCCTGCTGCGAGCCAGTCAGTGGGTCTCTGGGCGGGCACAGAAGATGCTCCCCCATACCCGTGACACTGCCCTGGTGATTTTGGGATGGGTTTATTTTGGGATGGGTTTATGTTGTGCTGTGCGCCCGGCAGTATCAGAACAAAAGTCAGCTGTTGGTGCAGCTGCTGTTGCAGAGCATCGAGTAATGCCCACCCTATCCCATGCCGGGGGGGGGACCCAAGAGTGGAAATCCTGTGCGAGCTGCGTGACTAAAACCCCTGAAAACACTAACAAATAGTTTTCTCTTGTTTGTCCAAGGAGGCTGGAGTTTTGATCCAAGAGATGAAAAAAAAAAAAAAGGTTATAAGAGTAAATCATCTATCGTAAGCAGACTTACATAAGGCAGGCAAATAGGGGAGCCACGAGAGGTGCGTGCACCTCTGCCTAACCTTCTTCTTCATTGCAGGACTCGAAGAACCTCGGTTTGTAGAGTTTAACGGAGGATTTAGCCAAGCCCAGCTGGACTGGTTCGATGAAGTCCTCAAGTTCTCTGACGAAAACCAAGAAAAAGTTATAGTTATGGGTAGGTGGATATGGGGGATATATGGGGATAGATGCAAAAAAAGTCATGTAGCCAACGTATGTTAGCTGAGGAAAACACGTAGCAGCTTTGTAGCTCGACTGAGGTACGCGTATAACCTGTGAAGTAGGAGAATAGCAACCGTGTCTCACATTCAGGTGAGCTTTCTGTATCCAGTTAGATGTCTGAACTTCCCAGCAACGAAGGCAGAGCTTGGCTACACTTAAAGTAACTCTCCTGCTTCTTTCCCTCTCAACTGCAGGTCATCTGCCCATTCATCCAGATGCTTCAGACAGAGTTTGCCTAGCCTGGAATTACGAAGATGCCCTTTCGGTCATACACTCCCATCAGTGCGTGGTCTGCTTTCTTGCAGGGCACCTGCACGACGGTGGCTATTGTTTAGACTCTCATGGAGTTCATCATCTGACTTTGGAGGGGGTTATTGAAACTCCACCAGAAAGCAATGCCTTTGGAACTATTTATGTCTATGAAGATAAAATGATACTAAAGGGAAGGGGCAGAATTTCAGACAGAGTTATGCATTTCTGAAAATGGTAAGCACATACAAATTGCTCTTCTTCAGTAAGTACTCGGACAAAAAAGCAGGGGATTCAGCTTATTATTTGCTTGTGTAAAGATGTGCATGGCTGATCCTTATAGCTTTACCTCAAACATTTTTCTCTTGGATACAGAATTTTAGAAATTATGTGTCTGTAAGAAAACAGACCTAGTTTCTTCGTGGAGAACGGAGAAGGCCAGTAACCATGTTTGAAATAAATATACTTGAATGCAGAACGTTGACTGGAAACACCCAATCCTTTACCGGATTGTTACTTACTGTGAAAAAATGCAAACTGTATTATTAATATTGTCAAAAAAGCCACTTCTTTTATATCAGTCAGAATTAAAGCATGCGGAATTGTACCTGCCCAGCTGCATTTCAATTTTTTTTTTTTTTTTAACATCATAGTCAATAATGTCTCATGGCTGGCAGAATTAGCCCGCCCTGTAGCCTAGTGCAGTCTTCTTAACGTTGCTTTAAAAGACTAAAGTAACCTTCAAAAAAAGCTAAGCCCAAGGAAAATGGAGACCATCTATGCTACATCATGTAACGCTGCAGATAGGCCCGCTGGGATCTACGTGTGCGCAGCTGTATGAGCCTGCAGCAGTACTGAGCGAAGACGCCCTGATGTGGAAGGATCTAAAGCATGTTGCTGTGCTCTCCCAGCCAGCTTGCCTGTCCAGTGTATCCACCTGTGCCTCCTTCTCCAGGATTTGTAGCGGTGGAACACGCTTACTGTCGCTGGGCTGCTGTGTGGGTTCTGCTTTCCAGGAACAGAAATTCTGTGAAAGGCAGAGTTGTGATAGTGACCACATCTGCTGGTGGCAGCCTTGAGTAAACATCTCACAGAAAATAAAAGATACGGAAGCTTTCATTGAATTTCCTTTAGAAAAATAGTGTTTATTATTCTATAAAACCAGTAATTTACAGTTAATAGCAAAAATATTCTTCAGATATATTCTACAAATGATTTTAGTGTAGGAACAGAAATACAGACTGCTCAACTTTGCAATTAGTCTCAATGGACTATCCAGGCAGATATCTGCAAGTTTTATGGCTGTAAATAGTCATTTATTGAAACAAAGCGTTTGCTTTACTTTTCCCTTATGTTACAGAACAGTAGATTTCCCAGGGTACGAGGTGGTTGGAGAGTGATGCAGGGATGCCAGGATATCTTGAACATACCCTTAGAACACACATTAGACCAACAGTGCTTTGAAAATGTACAGAGAAGCCAGCTGAACAACAGTTGCCATAGAAAAATTCTCCACTCAGATTTGACAGTGTTCCTCAATGTTTTTAACAAATCTCAAACCGCGCTGCTGGAAGCAGCCAGGCATTCTTGGGTCCTATCAAACCAATACTAACCTTTCATTGAGAACCAAAAGCAAAGGCAAGTAAGGTCAGAATATTTATTCTATACTTTCTCCCACCCAATTAAATCACCGTTTTACAGTGCGTTGGCCAAGATGCTCGCATCTCTTTGTTCACATAAATGTACAGCCACGAAACAAAGGGGAAGAGGGCAACCAGGATTGCAGCAATCAAGCGAACTCCACCCAGTGGGCTCCTATAAAGAAGCAAATGCAACAGAGCTATCAAATCAGACTGCTACGAAACATTCACACCTGGCTGCAGGTGGAAAGACAGCCGAGAGCCTTTGGCCACATCAATGTAGCTCCTATGGATGCATCAGCAGAGTCCTTTACTGGAGAGGCACCACATGCCAGCAGAAAAAGTTCTTCTGCCACCTCAGGCTACATAAACCAGGTGAGACAATAAAAGCAACCCACGTGCCCAGAGCATCTGTGATGTGTTTTCCCAGCACAAAGGCACTGTTTGGCAGATTGGGATTTTTCATGCTCCCAGCTAACAGGAATTTAGCAAAAACTGCTGTAGCACAGTCCTCTGAAGGGGCTGGAGGAGAAAAGTGTGGAGCCGCTGCAGCCAAGCCACCACGCAGAGCCTTCTGCCAGCTCTGCCTGCATCACTCGCCTGCTCCGGTGGACGCAGCAGACACCAGTACAGAGACCCTCACTGCAAAGTTCTGTAAATTGGGAGCAATGGCAGAAATGGCTTTGCAGTTCATTAGCAGTTGTAGCCAACACTCACTAGCCTGTTCCACGGAAGGGGCGCGCTGTCCTTAGGCAAAGGGAGAACGTCCCCTGCCCATTATGGCAGGCAGAGCAAAAAAAATGTTTTGTGTACCTTTACTTTCCCCGACAGACTTATCTGTGCAAGATCCTACAGGCTGTAGCACCAGTACTACTGCTTAGGTATCTCAGAAGGTTCAGACGGTGGCATGAAGCAAGCAGCCAAAATCAACTATGTGTTTTCAAGAAGCTAGTCACCAAATGTGAACATGTGAATGGATTAAAAAAAAAAAAAGGAAACAAAACTTACTTTGCTGAACTGCGACAGAGACTCATCCATATTGTAATAATCACCAGACCAAACAACTCTCTAAAAAGTCAAACAAAAAACAGATCGGAAAATAATACCAGCAGATGTTTACTTTTAAAAAATACAAATTTTGCCTCCAAAACAGTAGTGTCTGCTCCTTTGGAGAAGTTCAATATATTTTACTAGGATTATAATTATAAAGGTATTTACATGGAATAACTTTGCTTCTCACCACAAATCTATACACGCATGTGACCCAGCCATACAGCTGCAGAAATTCCTGCTTCCGCTTTTTGTTCTGCTGCCAAACTTCTATTCCACAGCGCATTTCCCTCGTTAACACAGAGCCAAGCAGCACCCCAGTATTCCAGCCCGTAGACAGCCGCAAGAGTTCCAGCGCTTCACCTCAGTACTGTGCAAGCACCTACTTTAGGCAACAACCCAATGTCCAGGTGAGAAATCCTCCCTCCCCTCAATTCCTGGCAGCTCAGAGGACTCAGCAGCCCGTGCCAGATAAACATGCGTATGGTATCACCTCAAGTGTTTTTAAAACATTAATTCCCATTCCTACAACTGCAGCAAGAGAACACAGAACTGTGCCCTCGTCTTCGAAAGCCAGAACTGCCCGCAGTTAAATCTCACTGCCACCATCAGGCAAGCAGCCACGACTGTTCACTCTCCCTTCAGCTCTTTCGTCCAAGAGATGGCTGGTTTGGAGCACGACGGTCCCTCCTCCTCCCTTTGGCTCCCCTGGACCAACGGCACTCACTGCAGCAGCCCAGCAAACAGAGTTTAGCAGGGTGACCACCTGGTCAGGAGATGGCCTGGCGTTGCTGAATTCGTGCAGGGGAAAATAAAAATCACTGCTTACCTGCCTTCCTCTTCGTGCAAAATGTTTCCTTGAGCGTAAGCAAACAAAGTGCAAGCCAAGGCAACGATCCCAACAATACAACCAGCAGAATGAAGGTCACAGAGGCTCCTCCAAACGCCATTATCTGAGGAAACAAATAGGCTGCCAGCAACTGCAATGTAGCATGAAGTAAACCCTATAAATCAAAAAGCAATTGAATCGCTAAAAAAGATGTCTCCAGCAAACACATCTTAGGCAGGAAGACGGAATTCATACCAGCATCTTTATGACCAGGGAAATCTGCTAAAAAGGGCTGGTGAAAATAAACACCAGTGGCTTGGGGCTTGCTTTCCTAGGAATGCAACGTCTTGGCAGCAGCACCTCAATGAAAACAGTTTCCTATTCTCTCCAGCAAACAAAACAGGCTCCAGCATTCAACACGCATGGGGAAAAAAAAAAAAAAAATCACAAGGTGGATTGCAAATGGAAATTCTCTTAAGCAGGAGGAGCGGCCTTTCCAGAGCCGACAGCCATAACCGGGCACTCGGCGTGCCCCCAGAGGGCCACCGGAGGCCAGGGGCGCGAGCCCCAGCTCCCAGCCAGCCCTCAGGGGAACCCAGCGACCCCCACGCTGCCGGGAGCGTCTTCCCTCACGCTCCCTGATGAGCCTCCGCCGCAGCTTTTGCCCGTGACGACGAGCAACGCTGATGACATCTCTGCCTGGGGACTGATGTTTTGAAACAGAGAAACACAGATGATGTGAAATATCCGAATGGGCCCACAGATTCCTGTGGTTTTCCATGGCCGTTCCCAGGGCTCGCGGGGGAGAGGTGAGCAAACGCCACAGGCAGTTCTCGCTGATCTCAGCAATGGCAACAGCGAAAACTGTGAAGTTAAAAGCAGGCTTTTCTGGGCCCTGACCCCTCCAGGCATGCATTAAAGGTGATGAGCTGCCAAAATTCAAGAGCTCAGCGTGACCCAGCGTTGTAATCGATTCCCCGTGTGGCTGAACTTACTGCAGCTCAGCGGAGGCAGCATCTGGGTCTTCCACAGACTTGAATGGCAAATATCCCTTGGTGAATTGACAGAAATGTCTGGTTATACAACAGTTGTGCTATTTTCATCTCTGTTTTCCACAGATCTTGGCACAAGTAACAAAAACCTACTCGGGAGTTTAACGTGCAGATTCTCTTGACCAGCCAAATGCCAGTATGTTGAAGCTACACCTATCACACAAATAAACCTCCCCTGAAATGTTCAAAACCACAGGCAACCAACGCTCATGGGTTTTGGCTTTACGAATGCTGCCGCTTTAGATGCTTAAGGTAGCCTGAATGCTGAGAACCTGCAATGGTGTGATTTGTGACCACTGCGTGCACCCTTGAAGATGGTCTTTTTTGGCCCAAGCGTGGTTTTAGTTTATTCATGTAAGTATTCATCCAGAAAAGATCCAGTCACTTTGTGTATATAAAATGTCATTATTTTAAAATTATTTCTACCGGATGAAAATACAAAAAATGAACTATCTTCTGGAGTCCTGGACCAAACCTGATCCCACTGATTCTCTCAGCCTGGGATGCGGCATTAGCCCCCTTCGCGTACGCCCTTGGAAACTCAGCCACTGCGCTGAAGCCTCCAAATGTCCCCAGCGCTGCCGCGCGCGCTGCGGGGTAGCTGCAGTACTCGGTCCTGAACGGGACCTTCAGCTCTGTCGAAGGACTGCGCAGAGCTCGGCTGCTCCGCTATGAGGCAGATGAGCAAAACCGCAGATGTACAACAAGGAAACAAAGTGAATT